GAGAATTTTTACGTCTATGTTCATGAGAGATATTGGTCTGTGGTTTTCTTTTCTTGTAATCCCTTTGTCTGGTTTTGGTGTTAGGGAAAGCCTGGCCTCGTAGAATGAGTTAAGTAGTATTCTTTCTGCCTCTATCTTTTGAAAGAGATTGTAGAGAATTGGTATAATTTCTTCCTGAAATATTTGGTAGAATCTACCAGTCAACCCATCTGGTCCTGGTACTTTCTGTTTCGGAAGGTTATTAATTGTTGATTCAATTTCTTTAATAGATATAGGCCTATTCAGATTATCTCTTCTTGTTTGAGTTGTGGTAGATTGTGTCTTTCAAGGAATTGGCTCATTTAATCTAGGTTATCAAATTGGTGGGCATAGGGTTGTTCATGGTAGTCCTTATTATCCTTCTAATGTCCATGGGATCTGTGGTGATGTTCCCTCTTTCATTCCTTTTTTTTTTTTTTTTGTGAGGAAGATCAGCCCTGAGCTAACATCCATGCCAATCCTCCTCTTTTTGCTGAGGAAGACCGGCCCTGAGCTAACATCTATTGCCAATCCTCCTCTTTTTTTTTCCCCTTTTTCTCCCCAAAGTCCCAGTAGATAGTTGTATGTCATAGTTGCACGTCCTTCTAGTTGCTGTATGTGGGACGCTGCCTCAGCATGGCCGGACAAGTGGTGCGTCGGTGCACGCCCGGGATCTGAACCCAGGCCGCCAGTAGTGGAGCGCATGCACTTAACCACTAAGCCATGGGGCCGGCCCCACCCCTCTTTCATTTCTGATGTTAGTAATCTGTGTCTTCTCTCTTTTTTCTTAGTTAGCCTGGCTAGAGGCTTATCAATTTTATTGATTTTTCCAAAGAACCAGCTTTTGGTTTTGTTGATTTTCTCTATTGATTTCCTGTTTTCAGTTTCATCGATTTCTGCCTAACTGATTTCTTCTTTTTGTTTTTTCCTGAGGAAGATTAGCCCTGAGCTAACATCTGTGCCAGTCTTCCTCCCCTTTATATGTGCGTTGCCGCCACAGCATGACTGACGAGTGGTGTAGGTCCACACCTGAGATCCAAATCTGTGAACACTGGGCCACTGAAGCAGAGCATGCCAAGCCTAAGCACTACGCCATGGGGCTGGCATCTTCTGCCTAATTGATTTCTATTCTAAATTTTGTTTCTTTTCTTCTGCTTACTTTGGGTTTAATTTGCTCTTCTTTTTCTAGTTTCCTGAGTAGAAGCTTAGATTATTGATATTAGATCTTTCTTCTTTTCTAATCTGTGCTGTCAATGTTATAAATTTCCCTCTAAGCACTGCTTTTGCTGGATCCCACAAATTTTGATAAGTTGTTTTTTCATTTTAATTTAGTTCAAAATATTTTCAAATTTCTCTTGAGATTTCTTCTTTGACCCATGTGTTATTTAGAAGTGTATTGTTTACTCTCCAAGTATTTTGGGGTTTTCCAACTGTCTTTCTGTTATTGAATTCTAGTTTAATTCCACTGTGGTCTGAGAGCAGATATTGTACTATTTCTATTCTTTTAAATTTGTGAAGATGTGTCTTATGGCCCACAACCGTAGTCTATGTTGGTGAATGTTCCATGTGAGCTTGAGAAGAATGTGTACTCTGCTGTTGTTGGATGAAGTAGTCTATAGATGTCAATTGTATCCCGTTGATTGGTGGTGCTGTTGAGTTCAACTCTGTCCTGATTTTATGCCTACTGGTTCTGTCCATTTCTGAGAGAGGGGTGTTGAAGTCTCCAACTATAATAGTGGATGTATTTATTTCTCCTTGCACGTCTATCAGTTTTTGCCTCACATATTTTGATGCTCTGCTGTTAGGTGCATACACATTATGTATTGGATTATTGTGTCTTCTTGTTTTTTTTTTTTTGTGAGGAAGATCAGCCCTGAGCTAACATCTGTGCCAATCCTCTTTTTGCTGAGGAAGACTGGCCCTGGGCTAAGATCTGTGCACATCTTCCTCCACTTTATATGGGACCCCGCCACAGCGTTGCCTGCCAAGCAGTGCATTGGTGCACGCCTGGGATCCCAACCCGGGCCGCCAGCAGCAGAGCGCGCGCACTTAACCGCTATGCCACGGGGCCAGCCCCCTGTTGTGTCTTCTAAAAGAACTGACCCCTTTGTCATTTATTATGCAATGCCCTTCTTTATCCCTCGTAATTTTCCTTTCCTGAAGTCTGCTCTGTATGAAATTAATACAGCTTCTCCTGCTTTCTTCTTATTTGTGTTAGCATGATATATCTTTCTCCATCCATCTACTTTTAATCTATACTTGTCTTTATATTTAAAGTGGGCTTCTTGTAGTCAATATATGGTTGGATCTTGTTTTTTTAGCTACTCTGACAATCTTTGTCTTTTAATTGGTATATTTAGACCATTGATGTTTAAAGTGATTATTGATATAGTTGGATTAAGACCTACCATATTTGTTATTGTTTTCTATTTGTTGCCCTTGTTCTGTGTTCCTATTTTTATCTACCACTCTTTTTCTGCTTTTTGTGTATTGTTTTTTTTTTTTTGCTTCAGGAAGATTGGCCCTGAGCTAACATCTGTGCCCATCTTCCTCTATATTTTGTATGTGGGTGACTGCCACAGCATGGCTGCCAACAAATGGTGTAGGTCTGTGCCGAGGAACCAAACGTGGGCCACTGATGCAGCGCACGCCAAACTTAACCACTAGGCCACAGGGCCGGCCCCCTGCTTTTTGTGATTTTAGTTGAGCGTTTTATATGATTCCGTTTTCTCTCCTTTCTTAGTTTATCTGTTATACTTCTTTTTTTAGTGGTTGCCCTATAGTTAGCAATGTACTTTTATAGTTAATCCAAGCCCCCTTTCAAATAACACAGTGACATCATAAGAAATATATATATTGGTTTCTACCCCTAGTTCCTGACCAGAGCTCCTGAATCCCTTGGAATTTCCTGGGTTATAGGAAATGAGAAGACTCTTCATGGGCTCCTGGATGGGGGGCTAGTCGCCAGAAAGACAAAGCCATGGTCAGAAGCTTGGAACTTTTAGCTCCACTCCCATCCTCCAGGGAGAAGAGAGGGACTGGATATTGAGTTAAAAATCTGTCATGCCTATGTGATGAACCCTCCATAAAAATCCCTGACCTTTGGGGTTTGGAGAGTTTCTAGGTTGGTGAACACATCCACACTGGGAGGGTGGCACACCCCAACTCCATGGGGACAGAAGCTCCTGTGCTCAGGACCTTTCTGGACCTCACCCTATGTACCTCTTCATCTGTATCCTTTATTATATAATAAACGAGTAAATGTAAGTAAATATTTCCCAGAGTTATGTGAGCCATCCTGGCAAATTATTGAACCTGATGAGGGAGTTGTGGGAACCCTGATCTGTAGCCAAGTTGGACAGAAATATGGGTGACATGGGGACCCTCTGCTTTAGACATGGGTGTCTGAAGTGGGGGCAGTCTTGTGAGACTGAGCCCCTAACCTGTGGGATCTGATGCTAACTCCAGGTAGTTGGTGTCAGAACTGAATCCTACGACACCCAGTTGGTGTCCAGAGAGTTGGAGAATTGCTTGGTGTAGGGAAAACCCCACACATTTCGTGTCAGAAGTATTCAGTGTGTAGAGAAAAAGAGATTCTTCCTTTTAAACACTATATCACTTTGTGGGTAGTGTAAGTACCTTGTAATAGCAAAATAATCGTAAATCCTCCGTCTGGTCCCTTGTATTAACATTTCTTGCAAGAATCTGTTACCAGATTCTTACAAGGAATCTGGTAACAGATTCCCTCTGTTTTCATTTGTCTGAGAAAGTCTTTATTTCTCCTTCACTTTTGAAGGATAATTTCACAGGGTACAGAATTCTAAGCTGGTGTTTTTTTCTCTCAACTCTTTGAATATTTCAGTCCACTCTCTTGCCTGCATGGTTGCTGAGAAGTAGGATGTAATTCTTACCTTTGTTCCTGTATAGATAAGGTGTTTTTACCTCTGGCTTCTTACAGGGTTTTTTCTTTATCTTTGACTTTTTGTAATTTGAATATATGTCAAGGTGTAGTTTATCCACTTGGTGTTCTCTGAGCTTCCCGTGGTTCGGTGTCTGACATTAATTTCAGTCATTAGTGCTTCCAATATTTCTTCTGTTTCTTTCTCTCTTCTGTTTCTGGAATTCCCATCAGGCATATGTTACTGCTTTTGTAGTTGTCCCACAGTCCTTAAATATTCTGTTCTATTTTTATCAGTCTTTTTTCTGTTTGCTTTTCAGTTTTGGAGATTTCTGATGACATACCTTCAAGCACAGAGATTCTTTCCTTAGCTGGAGCGACCTGGATGCCTGGTTGAAAAGGCTGGTCCAATGCACTCTGTGCTTCTGACCTGGAGCGTGTAGCTTGTATGGAAAAGGGCTTCCCACCCCCATGTTCTTGCCAATTAGGCCAGCACTATTCATTAAATAAATTGTCTTTCTCACTGAAATGAAATCTTCTCTTTGTTACATAAGTTCACAAAAATGTTGGTGTGCATTTCCTTTTTTTTTTTTGGCTGGGGAAGAGTCACCCTGAGCTAACATCTGTTGCCAATCTTCCTTGTTTATTTCCCCTCTCCAAAGCCCCAGTACATAGTTGTGTATAGTTGTAAGTCCTTCTAGTTTTTCTATGTGAGCCACTGCCACAGCAGGGCTACTGACAGGCAAGTGGTGTGGTTCTGCGCCTGGGAACCGAACCTGGGCCACTGAAGCGGAGCACACCGAACTTTAACCATGAGGCCATCAGGGCTGGCTCTGATGTGCATTTCTGATTTTCTGTCTTTCCCACCATGTTTTATCTGTCCTGTGCTGATATGACCAGTTTGATATCAGAGGCTTTACAGAGTGCTCTGACATCTGCTATGTCCCTCTTTGTGATCAGTCCTCAGAAGATTTTCTGGATTTTGTGGCTGTGTGGCTCTGCCTCTTGTGGAGCCCAGGTACGGCCTCCATTTGAGGTCGTTTCTCCGTGCTCCTTGTGTTGACCTCTGCGTTTCTGTTTTTAGGACCCTTCGCTGTTGGATGGCCGGGTGACGCTTCTCCATGTCCCTGGGGGCACAGTGGTGTCGAGGCAGGGAGACCAGGTGAGTGAAAAGCTGTGGGGTTCAAGGGAGGAGTCACCAGGGCTGCCCAGTCCTGTAACCTGGCCCTGGATGGAGCTTGGAGGAGGCAGCCTGACTGTGGTCCAGCCTGGGCGTATGCTGGATGCACAATGCAGGGTCTGTTGTCACTGTTCCTGGAGGGGCTCTTTCCCTCCAGCTTGTGAAGGTGTCTGCAGACGTGTTGAGGATCACTGAGCCTGTCCTCTTCATGGGAGTGTGCACATTTCCACACTCAACGTACGCACATACACATGCATATTTACCTTAGAGTCATTACTGAGCTCACAAAGTCAGGTGCAGAAGAAATAATTTTGTTTTCTCAGTTTTCAAACCCAGATACAGATGAAAAATAATTTTGTTTTTCATAAATGAACCTAATTTCTGATTGTGAGAACCTCACCCTGCGAGGCCAGCAGAGATAATCTCCAACACCTCTGTCCTCCTGGGAGCTCGTCTCTCCTGGGTGTTGCCTTGTCTGAGGTGTCTCTCTTTGTAAGAGTTGCATTCTCTCTGGCCCCTGCATTAGCGTGGTGGAAAGTGTTTTGTTTAGTTTGCTTTTAAAGCAGCTTTGCTGGGAGAGCAAACCGAGCCTGGGTCCTCACTTCTGTGCCACTCGTCCTCTGGAGCAACACCATAGGGGCCCAGGTGCCCACAGCCGGCCACCACAGTGCTGAGCTGAGTGCAGACGCAGGGCGGGGCTTGGAGGACAGACCTGCCCAGGCAGCGGGAGCCTGTGGGCACCGGGATGGGAAGACGCAGAAGCCCCAGCCCGGTGGGGAGCTTGGCAGCTTCAGGCCTCCTGAGGACTCTCACTGACACTTTCCCACAGACATTAGCGACGCTTGTCCTCTCTCCCTCCTTCTCTTCCCTTTCTCTTTTCTTTTTTGTCTTTACCATGATCAAGAAAGGCTTTTCCTTTTCCTCGGAGGAAGCACACTGCTGACTCTCCTGCACTGGGTCAGTCTAGGCCATCTGGCTGGGAAAGCCTCTCCTCCCGTAGCAGGCCTCAGTCCTCTCCAGAGCACTGAGCACCCAGGTGCCCCTCAGAGGCTGTAGCTGGAGCAAGAGCTGGCCTCTGTCTGCCCCCGAGCCTCCCAGACCCTCAGACAGCCCAGAGCCCATGAAGCGCAACTGAGCCCCTCTGATTTCTGCCGCACGGGCGCTTTTCTGCACAGACCAGAGAGATGTCGTCCAACTGGGAAGATTTGGCAAGAGGCCATATGATGGACACACATCAGTTGTGGTTGGCATCCGGCTGCTCACATGGGCGTATTTGCAGACGTTGCACCCAAAATGCCTGTGTTGTGTGAGCGGTGGCATGGTGTGGGGAGGGGTCTGCTGGCTGCTGTCAGGTGTCCACCCCATCCAGGGGCAAAACCTGTCAGGGCTGCATGGAGAGGGAAGACAGTGCCCCTCGGAGCCGCTCCGTGCCACTGTCACCTGGGCAAGCAGGGACTCGGGGCCTGGGAAAGGCCCGCCCAGCAGCAGGTGTGGCAGCGCAGGCCGACCAGCGTGCAGGCTGTGGGCTGCTTTTAAGGGAGAGGTTATGTCATTGTCTCTGGTGAATGTTGAGCTGATCACATATTTGTGTGGACAATTAAATACGTCAGTGCCGAGATGGAAAGTGTGTGTGTCTGGCTAGGCTCTCTGCTGTGGACCTACTGAAAAAATTAATCTCCTGTGATGATAATTAAATGATAAAACTGTAGACACTGCTGAAATGTTTCCAACGAGACTCTGTGCCCAGGGCAAGTTATAGGAGACAAAACAGGCAAAGGAGATGCGAGCAGCTCGCCTGGCAGCTCCTTGGCTGGGCCTGCTGCAGAGCCCTGGGCCCCGTGGCGTCCCTGGCTTATGCCTCTCATTTTGTCAGGATGTGAACATCCTCTTTGTGGTCTCGGGGCTGCTGCACGTGTACCAGCAGAAGATTGACAGTGAGGAGGACACCTGCCTGTTTGTCACGCGCCCCGGGGAGATGGTGGGACAGCTGGCTGTGCTCACCGGCGAGCCCCTCATCTTCACCATCAAGGCCAACAGGGACTGCAGCTTCCTGTCCATCTCCAAGGCACACTTCTATGAGTGAGTCCCACCCGCCCTGCCCTGCTGTGATCTAACCACCGGGCTTCTGCTATACCATGTAAGGCCAGGCTCCCCTGTGTCGCACCTGCGTGGCCCTTTGAGCTCGTTCGTGTCACGCAGTCTGTCGTGCCTGTCCTGGGGCCCATGCTGGGCACCTCACAGAGGTCCTGCCCCTTGCCCTGCTCACACTTGAGGAGATAGGAGTCCAGGGAGAAAGGCAAGGACAGTGGGGTGAGACATGCAGGAAGGGATGTCGTGCTGCGGGGCGGCTGCCATGCCTCTCTGCCTCTGGAAGCCAAAGTAAACTTGGGCTCCTTCTCAGGAAGGTAGTTAGTCTGCATCATCTCCTAGGCTGGACGTAAACCCTGGTAAACCCCACCCAGTCCCTTCAGGCCCAGATGTGTCCTTGGCCTGCTGGGGGAGCCTGGGGCCGGTCCCCTGCCTGATCCCTCTGTGTGTGTGTCATCTGTGTGTGCTTGTGTCTGTGTGTGTGTGCTCACAGCATGAGACCCTGATATAGGCAGTTCCTGCCCTGCAGACATCCTCCAACTGATGTCCTGAGGAATCTCATCCCACCCCGGGGCTTTATGTACCACATTCACATCTCCTAGCAAACTTCCCTCCTGAGTCCAGGCTCGTGTGTCGGGCTCCATCTTGACGTTCCCCTGTGATGTCTCAGGGGCTTCCATAATCTGCTGTCCAAAGCACAGCTTCAAATTTTCCCCCAGTTTGCTGCTACTCCCAGTTTTGTGATCTCAGCGACTGGGAACTCCACCTGCCCCTGGCTCGGGCCTAAGTCCCGGAGTCACCCCAGCCCCCGCACTCTCCCTTGTCGGTCCAGCCTGACTGCAGCCAGTGAGCTGACCGCTCCTCCCTGCTGCTGCCTTCTGGAAGCCTCCACAGTATAGTGGAGCACCCTGCTTCTGCCTTCACCCTCAGCAGCTTGTTCTCCCACGGCAGCTAGGGAGACAGGCTGATCATGTTCCTGCTGGCCAGAGCCTGCCAGTGACTTCCATCATGCCCAGGATTGACCTGGCGCCTTTCCTTTCCTGGCACAAGGCCCCGTATGATCTCTGCCCACCAACCTCTTGGTCACATCCTCACTCCTGTACCCTCCACTTGGCCTCCTCCCACTCTTCCCGCTCTAGTGTTCATGGCTTGGTCGTGGGGCCAGGGAATTTGCATCCCACGGCTGGTGTTGGGGCCTTATGCATGGCCTGTGCTCTGAGGACATCCGTGGGGTGGGCAACAGCCTGGAGAGGGACTCTGAAGACTTTTCCAAAGCCGCTGGCCATGGGCACACACAGGCTGCGATGGGGCAGGTGACTGACCGAGTGCTGTGCTCTGTCCTAGACTGTGGCTGGTGTCTGCATCACCAGCTACATGGTGTTGTGCTTTGATAAGTGGGCTGTGGGTCCTGCCTACTCTCGAGTGCTGTGGCCTGGAGCGAAGGGGAGAGCTGGCAGGATTGGTCAGAGGACGTGAGGGGAATGACTCTGGGCTGGCTCTGCAGGATCATGCGGAAGCAGCCGACCGTCGTCCTGGGCGTGGCACACACCCTGGTGAAGCGGGTGTCTTCCTTTGTGCGGCAGATCGACTTTGCGTTGGACTGGATGGAGGTGGAGGCCGGGCGTGCCATCTACAGGTGAGGCCCGCAGGTGTGCAGGTTTCTCTGTCAACTGCATTGTCCTGACTGAAAACGGGCTGATGGACAGAGCTCAGGTAGGGTGGAAACTGTCAACAGAAGGGTGAGTTTCCTCTGGCTCTGCTCCCGGAGGTCATCACGGGAACATGCTTCGTGGCCTCCTGGGTTTTGTGTACACATACACACGCTCAGACACACACTTTTCCACGGGCGTCTTTCCATGTCAGTACGCACAAATCCACACCATCCTTTAAGATGGCCAACAAAAGCAGTGTTCGGACAGTATTTATGGAGTTGCTCCATGCTGAAGGTTTCCCCGTGACCTCAGCGGGCGTCCTTAGTTCCACTCACAACAACAGCTGGATTCAGAGCTTCACACGTGCCCAGTCAGACAGACCTGGATTATCACTATCAATTTTCATGGTCCTTAGTTACAAAAATTGAAACTAAGGAAGTTTTAAATATTTAATTATTTATTTAAAAATCACAATAAACCTTTTACATGGTGGCATACATATTTTTTAATGGAAAATATATTTTCCAAAAGAAAGCAATTTCGTGAGAAGACTGCATTCTTTTTTTTTTGCCACCTCGGGTGGCCAAGAGCTTCCCAGCCGGTACCCTGCCTGCTCCCAGCAGCCTCTCTCCCCACAGGCAGGGGGACAAGTCGGACTGCACCTACATTGTCCTCAGTGGCCGGCTGCGCTCAGTGATCCAAAAGGACGATGGCAAAAAGCGCCTGGCGGGGGAGTATGGCCGCGGAGACCTCATCGGTGTGGTAGGGCTGGGCCCCTCCCCCCATGCCCTGCCATCAGGGAGACCCCCTTATCTGGGGTGCATGCCTTTCCTGGGTGGCCCGAGCGCTGCACCTGCAGTTTTCAGGTGGCTTGCTTGCTCTCAGCCTGGGCTGCAGCACTAGGGGTGGAACAGCTGCAGGAGTTGCCTCCCAAAGGTCTCCAGGGAGAGTGGCTGGCTGGGCAGGGGTGGAGGTTTGGGAGCAGCCCCTTCGCCCTCCCTCAGGAGAACGTGCCTGTCAAGGTGGTTCCTTCGAGACCCTTGTATGTAGAATGAAGCCCTGGCTGAGGGACAGCTGACTGACCTCTTCTCGGTGCCTGACAGGGCAGCCTGTCTGGGGGTGCTGGGGGCCCCTTTGGCCTCTCGCAGGTTCCATTGCTACTGACAGCATGCCCACTTGCCAGCTCTCACTGACGCTTCCTCCACCACCGCAGGGGGGTGGGTGAGCTCCTCTTCCTCCCCTTTCTCACCTGCACACCACATTCTAGAAGGGTGTGCTCTGCCCTCCAGTTCTGGGTGCGACCAGCTGGGCCCTGCGGGGCTAGTGGGTGTAAGCAGTGCGGCCCCAGCACGGCAGCTCCTTTTCCAGGTAGAGACGCTCACCCGCCAGGCCAGGGCGACCACAGTGCATGCCGTTCGGGACTCAGAGTTGGCCAAGCTTCCGGCTGGAGCCCTGACATCCATCAAGCGCAAGTACCCGCAGGTAAGGGCTCCTGCTCTGAGCTGCGCTAGGGAAGCAGGACATTCAGGTGGTGAAATCATGATTACCAAGCAGTGGGCTGCCTCCTGTCTAAGAGCCAGAGTGAGGTAGAGATTGAAACATAACCTGGAGCAGGCAGGTTTCATGGTTTGAAAAGAAATGTCAGCATGGACTAGCCCATAGGGATGAGGGCCTCAGGGCAGGTGGCCTGGGCACAGGCAGGAGGTGGGAGCCATGTGTGGGAACCAAGCAAGTAAAGCCTGCCTGGCACTGCCGTGTTCCCACCACTTCCCCCTAGATGAGCCATCTCACAAGTGATATTTAAAACCAGTCAGGTTGAGGGATTAGGGTTAGAGTTAGGGTATTTACAAGCAGGAACACGACACGATAACAGTGCGGTTTTAGGTGGTGTGGGAGCTTTCCTACTGTGCAGCTCAGGAGAGGTGAAACTGAAATTTGGAGGGGCAGATGCAGGCTCGGGCTCCGGTGGTCAGTTCAGGCAGCAAAATGAGGGGAGTTGGTCCTACTTGGCGGGTAGTTACTGTGGCTGGTTTTCTGGTATTTACCTCCCTGTGTCTAGGTGGTAAGAGTGTAGCCAAGGAAATGGGAGAGCCTCTGACCTCAGAGGTTTGGAGGAGGTGGGATGGGGCTGCTCCTGGACGGAATCAGCAATTGGGCTGCCTGAGAAAGGATGGCCGAGGCAGCTGTGAAGGCTCAGGCCTGCTCCATCTTTATTAGCATGCATGCACATGTTGTGCGTGTCTCCGTTCTAGAACAATGGAAAATCTCCCAGTTTATTTTTGAAGTTAACATGACTCTAACACCAAAATTTGATAAAAATAATGCAGAAAACTTTTAATCATTTCTCTTAATACCATAGCTATAAATACTCTAAATATTAGCAAATCAACTATAAAAATGTTTGATTAGGATTTATTCAAGGAATATTAGTCAAGTGTTGGAAAATTATTAAAATATGCTTGATTATGGCAAAAGTTAAAAGCGAAGCCCCTTACGGTTGTATCAAGACATTTGACAAAATTCAGCTATTACTAATAAACACTTTAAATAAATAGGAGTGAAAGGAGACCGTTTAAATATAACAAATACTGTTTATTCCAGACCACCAAAGCCCAAAACAAGACAGACTCCTTAGGGGCCAGCCCGATGGCGTAGTGCTTAAGTTTGCATGCTCCACTTCGGCAGCCCGGGGTTCGTGGGTTCGGATCCCGGGTGCGGACCTACGCACCGCTTATCAAGCCGTGCTGTGGTGGCATCCCACACATAAAGTAGGGGGAGACGAGCATGGATGTTAGCCCAGGGCCAGTCTTCCTCAGCAAAAAGAGGAGGATTGGCAACAGATGTTAGCTCAGGGCTGATCTTCCTCACAAAAAAACAAAAAAACAAATTCATCCATTATTTCATCTTAAAAGATCTTTATTTGAGCCCAAAGAGTTGCAATTCAGGACATGCGTGCTATGGTGACCCATAGGCATATCCAACAAGCAAAGGAAGGAGTTTACTTTTATAGAGAAAAAGGGGGAGAGGCAGGGGCTGCTCTAAAGGAAAAGCCCACTGGGGGAGAGAAACAGATCAGGGTGGCAACGGCTTCTCCTTGGCTGAACTGTAGCATTTATGATTGGCTGAGCTGCAGCATTTCTGATTGGCTGAGATGCAGTGTTTCTTTTTTTTTTTTTAATTTTATTTATTTTTCCCCCAAAGCCCCAGTAGATAGTTGTATGTCATAGTTGCACATCCTTCTAGTTGCTGTATGTGGGACACGGCCTCAGCATGGCCGGAGAAGCAGTGCGTCGGTGCATGCCCAGGACCCGGACCCTGGCCGCCAGCAGCGGAGCGCGCGCACTTAACCGCTAAGCCACGGGCGGGCCCTGAGCTGCAGTGTTTCTGATTGGCTGGGCTGTTGCTGGGCGGGGAGAGAAGTCTTCCCTCAGTAGTAAATAATTGTACTTCCTGTTTGGAGTGATTGACAGTGTGTGATGGGGCAAGAGCTCCTGCTGCAGGCCTTTCCCGTCCAGTTTAGTTGAGGTTTCTCTAACTCATGTCACATTCTGTACTTCCAATCCCCAGGTAGAAATGGAAATGGAGCAGCCATCCCAGTTAAAATAGCAGAGTTCTTGAGAGTAAGATCAGTCAGACAGACATGGGCTTCTTAGGCAGGCCGCAGGGTCCCGTTGCGGGAAGTAGCTGGAGGCCTTGCTGTGTCCTGCGTGGGCGGGCCCAGTTCCATTACAGGGCAAGTCTTTCCGGTTGGAAACCAGGTAAGGGATTTTTTCTTGGACGGTGTAGGGGGGCTTCCCTGGGGAAGCAGACCTTGGGGCCAGCTGGCTCTGACACCAGCACCCAAACAGCAGCATCTACGGGAGTCTTTGCTCCGGGCCCCCCCAGTCTCCCTGACGGGGCCACGGCCCTGGCAAGGGTAGAGGGCTGGAGACTCTCCCCTTGATGTGCTGCGCAGTGCTGGCTCCTGCATTCACCCTTCCGTCTCTGGGCCTGGTATCCCTGTAACGATAACCCCAGGGCTCTGTCTCCAGCCTTCTGGGGTCATGGGGGGACCTGATTGGTGATTTTCTCATTTATGCTTCTTTCCATGTTGATGGTCAGTGTTTCCTGTAAGGAAAAGCTTTCTGCTCTCCCCATGTATTTGTTCATTGATTTCGTGTGTCACTGTTGACTCAGGAGTCTTCTTTTATTATTAGATGGTTTCTAATCTTTTCCTGTTGTCAACCTACAAATACAGAAACCAGTTTGAGAGGCGAAGCGTTTATTTGGGATCAAAGAATTTCAATTCGGGAAGCACAGATTCAGGTAGGAACCCAAATAGCCTCCTGCTAGGGAGTAAAAGTCAGGGGCTTTTAGAGGCAGAGAAGGGAAGTTGTATTACAAAGAATGTTAATTGAAGTTGGAGGCAGAGAGCTGGTCTTGGGTAAACATTGATTGGGTATTGACTATCTTCAGAAAGCCAACCATCCTCAGTCTTTGTGATCAGGATGTCTGTTCTCCTGCTGACTTCTCAAACAATTGCTTGTAAAACAATTGCTGTTTTGGCCCAGTCCAAAGGTTTGGCTCAGTCCAAGGTTCAAGACAGCAGGCAGTTTCTCTGGAAAAGCAGCTCTGACTCCATCTTAAAATGGCTCCACTATAGTTGATTTTGACACTGTCATCTTTCATGTGGATGTTTGTATCCCAAATTTGGCCCTTGGGGGCCCCTAGGGCTCATTCTGATTTCCTCTTACATTCCCTACCTCGGCCCTGGTGGCTGTATTTCTGTTTGGAGCCCTGGTCTCTTTGGTGGAGCTGGGTGCTTGGGGTGCTGGCCCACTCAGTGGGCCCAGCAAGGGACCATGGCAAGGGACTGAGGTGAGCATCTCCCCTCCAGTAGTGAGAATGTCTGCTCCCACATCTTGACCCATTTATTTATGAGCGTGTGCAGCCCCTCCCTCAGGACCACCCCCCTACTGCCGCAGAATCTCACTGTCACCACCCCCTAAACAGACACTCCCACCCCAGACCAGGCTGCTGCTGTCCCCTCACACCCACATTACTTCCAGTTCTCATGACCCTCTTCTCCCTGTGCCCACCAGACCTGGGCTGGGGGCTGCCATGGAGTGGGTGAAGCCCCTAGACATTTCCAGGAGAGGGCCCAGTCTCCTCGCAGCCCACCCAGCCCCACTCACCCTCCTGAGACTCACCAGAGGAAAGCCCCCTGCTTCCCTCCCTTGGCCTATGGCTTGTGGGGTGACCAAGACTCAAATCTGAAGGCCCTGCTAATGGCCCATTTAAGCACCAGGAGACCCCAGCAGATGGCAGAGTGCTTGTCATGGTGGCCAGGGCCAGCCCGTGTGCCACCAGGAGCTTTGGGGTCACGGGGAGCAAGGGCAAGCAGGCCCATGTTCTGCCTGGGGGCCACAGCTCCAGAGCGGCTGCTGGTTTGGAGGTTAGCACATCCTGCAGGGTGGTGCCCTCGTCATCAGGAAATATCTCTCAGCTGGTGCTTCAGCTGCACCTCTCAAGGCCACTGCATGCCATGTGACGTGGTACTGTCCTGCCAGCAGCTCTGGGTGGTGCAGTGTGGGGTGGGGCCCCTGGGGCCCACGGTCGTAATCAGCCCCTGGTTTTGGTTGATGCTCTGCAGAGTCAGCCACTTTGAGAGTCCTCAGATGGGGGCAGAAAAGGCCAACCACCCTTGGAATGGGTATCGGTCCTGCCGAGGCAAGCGCTGCTGTTGGGCCTTCATGCCAAGGACAGAGGCTGGCCGTGCTCCTATCAGCTGCCTCTTCTGTGGGGCTGCTCCCTGCTGGGCCCAGGAAAAGACCCTCTGCTCACACCCACTCCCTTGAGGGTCCCCAGACCTTCCCCATCTCCTTGTCTCCAACCTTCCAGTCCTGCAGCTTCCCGCCTTCTGCCTCGGCGCCTTTCTGTCTGCACAGTGGGGCCAGGGTCTCCTCGCCCTTTGGGGGATCATCCTCAGAGGGGGCTGTAGCTGTCCACTTTCAGCTCAAGCCAACACCCAAGCTGACCAGGCAGCCAAGCTGGAGTCTTCCTTCCTCCTGTCAGCAAGTTGAGCGGCAGCCCCTGGGTGTAGTGTGAGCTGTTGGAAGAGTTGGTGCAAGAGGGGCCTGTGGGGCTGGGCCCTGACTTGTGCAGCTCACAGGAGCCCTGAGCCAGACCTCATGCTTCTCCGTCACACAGCCGGTTGCTGCTGGGCTGACCAGTGACACTCGGGGCACAGTGGGCACGTGCTCAGAGCAACCAGGTGGGGGCTGCCCTGGGATGGCGTGTGCTCTCCCACAGGCGTCCGGCCTTGCCCTGGACTCTGGGCCGCTCAGTCTGTGGTGGGCTTGCCCCTGGCCCTTCAGCACAGGGAACCACCGGCCACACAGCCCCGTGGTGGGGCTGCTCCCAGTCAGCCCCTGTCCCACCCTCAACCACCACTGGCCACTTTCTGTCTGTTCTTGGATTTCATATAAATGAAATAATACAGAATGCAGTGTTTTGTGTCTGGCTTCTGTTGCTGGGTTGGTATCTGAGGGATCCATTTGTTCTGGGTGTTGCTGGCACATTATTTTTATCGTTAGGTAGTATTCCACTGTGCACCACAGCTCCTTCGTCCATTCTCCCTTGATGGATACTTGGCTTGTTTCCAGTTTGAGGCTGTTATGAAAAGGCTACTAAAAATGTTCTTGTATAAATGTTTTTATGGCACATTTTTTTTAATTGGAATTTTATTTTTATCTTGTATAACATTTGGGGGTAATTTGATGATTCCTTGTTAGTATCGGGACCAAGGCTCCTTCTGTTTATTTTATTTTATTTTATTTTATTTGTGAGGAAGATCAGCCCTGAGCTAACATCTGCCAATCCTCCTCTTTTTGGTGAGGAAGACTGGCCCTGGGCTAACATCTGTGCCCATCTTCCTCC